CCTTGGACAGCGAGCCAGTCTCGCAAGGATCAAAGGGGTTCAATGAGCAATTCAATGACTACCGAGTTTAAACCTCGTGTTTGGGGCCAGAACGGGAACAGGCCCATGGGATAAAAACGTGAGCCTCCTCAACTTCTACCAAGTGCTTCCCCCTCTCCCCTCACCCTGGATTGGGGGAAGGGGCTCTGGTGCTAGGGACAGTGGAGTGAACCTCCTTTCCCCACCAAAGGACAAGATGGACCAAACCCAACTTATCTGGGACTGGAGACCCTCATGGGGCCAAGGGAAGGGGCCCAGAAAGAGCCAAGAGCACCATGCTGGTTACTTTCAAGCAGACAGCTGGCACGGGAGGGAGCCCGAAATAACCCAGACAGCTGGGGTGGGGGTGCCATGGCCACAGGCGAGAGGCTGAAGTCAGGACACCTGGAAGCCCATACTGGCTGCCAGTGGTGGCCTCGTGACCTTGGGTGAATCACTTATCTCTGGGTTTGGGGGGAGTGACCCTAAATCATGACCCGACCATTGAACAGCCTGTGAAGCTGGGGGCAGGCCACCGCTCGGACTCCAACCACACGGAGGAAAAACGGAGCTGGCTCCCTGCCTACGGAAAGCCAGTCTTCCCCTTGGCCCTGAGGCAGTGCCACGTGCTTCAGGGGTGGGTCAGTGGGGGAGGAGCTCACAGCCAGCCCAGCCCCCACTCCTTGCAGCCAAAAGGGAATGGAGGCCAGCTAGTGTGAAGTCAGAACGTGAGGCCAAGCCCCCTTAGTCACACTTAATTCCCCCCATTCCCGTTTCCAGCAGGCTTTATTATCATTTCACACAGGAGACTCGCCCAAGGTCACCAGCACAGCCGCCTGACTTAAAGCCTCTCTTGACCGAGCGCCAAGATGCTCTCAAAATCTCCAGGTCAAGCCCTACCGGCTCCCCTAAAACCTCAGTTTAGCCTTATAGTGAGTGGGCAGGGCCGACCCCAAGGAAGCCAAACTTCAGCCCAGATGGGGGAGTGGTGCAGATCAGTGGCACCTGGGACCCAAATGGTTCATCAAAGTAATCCCTAACTAGAGACCGCATGGGGGAGGGGTCAGAGATCAAGGGCCACACCATCTCCAGCTGTGGAGCTTCCTGGAGACAGTGGGACACCAGGAGCCAGTCAGCTTGTGTTAGGAGAGTAAGGAGAATTGCCATTATTATGAAGCAAACGCCTCAGTTTCAAAAGCACTAGTTCACGTCCTCCTCACAACACCCCCAGGTGTTACCCAGCCCATGATATGCCCAAATTCGGGTGACCCCCAAGAACAAACCACCAGAGTCCAGAGTCAAAGCCAAGCGGCAAGGGCCGTTTATTGCAGGTTCGAACCCGGACCTCCGCGCACTCGTTGTCAGTGACGCTAAGAGGCCCCGAGCGAGGTTTTTACAGCCTTTTTATAGACAGGCACAAACAAGTTATGGGGAAGTTAGGGATCTTCCACTGTTACAGAGCGGTTATTGGTTGATATTTAAATTTGAACACTCAGCAAAACTTGACTGGTTCCCGCCTTTAGGTCAAACCACAACCTGGCACGCCCTGGCTGGTTCTGGGACCGGCGGGGGGGGGGGGGGGGGTCTTTTCTTTGCAGTTGTGGGTACCCCTGGTAACTTTTCTCTTAGTCTCTCATTCCCCCCTTTCTTTGGTGCCTTAAGAGCCAATCTTGGATCTTACGTGTTTGACTCAAATGTTTCATTAACGATAGGTTGCTATTGGGTTCTGAGGACCATCAGTTGAATAGTATTGACTCTTTCTTTGATAAAAGCTAACATTTTGTTTATGATACATGGCCCTATTGTGAGGAGAAGTAGCAAGCTTAGCAATGGCCCTAAGAGGGGGAGGAGGTATGGGAGGAAGCCGTTGAGTCCGAACCATAAAGGGTTGTCAGCTAATTCTTTCCGACGGTGGGCTAAATCTTCTTGGAGTTGATTTTTGTTCTTACTATTCCTGACTTGTCAGCACAAAAGCAACATTTTTCTTGGAGGGCTAAACATATCCCACCTTGCTCTGCAGTTAACAGGTCTAGTCCCCTTCTATTCTGTAATACTACCTCGGCTAGGGTAGTTGATCCTGTAAGTCTTGGATGGTTCTGGACAGGGCCTGTACATCTTCTATTAGCTGTCGCCAAAGTTGATGGTATGTGTGGACAGATACACCTAAGCCCACCGATCCAGCTGTTACAGCTCCTGTTATTCCTAACCCTACTAATAGGGGGATGACTGCCACTGCTCTGTTGGCTCTCCCTGGTAGATAGTCTAAGCTAGGTATAGGCATCGGGGAACCCCCTGGAACCAGGTCTACATCCGGAAGGAGGGTTGCTGGGACGCAGATTCCTGTCCAATTTGGGGGTAAGTGTGAGCGAGATTGCCCCCACATATAAATACAGTGGTGTTGGAGCTACATAGTGAGGAGTTGATTACTGTATAGTTGGTACAGTTAGCAAAAGAGACTTCCCCTAAATCAATACTGTCGTTAGCGTCTGTGTGATTTTTAACAAGACATGAGATATTGAATACAATGAGAGATTGCATGGGGAAGGGGTCGACGGGGTTAAAGGGATGACAGTCATCAGTGCTATCGAGGCTTAGGGTGGGAGGGACTGCTATAGGTCTGGGCTGCCCCTGAGGGAGACATAGCCAGCAGTCTTGGGCTAGAGCGGGGTTGGAGGCATTTAGGAGCGCAAAGGTAGCCTTAATTATATCCATAGTCTGAGGGTCCAGGTCGGAATGGCTATTTTCAGGCAGAATTAGTGGGTGGTAATTAAGTTGGGGATACATCCCCTGAAATATTTTTTTCAAGTTTCTTCCGGGTTTCAATTTGTCGGACCGTATCTTGGGGCCCACCCCCGTCTGAAACGTGTACCGGGGCTTTGGTATTCCAGCACACACGAGTTCCTACTGTGCCCCGGCATCCTGCCTGCATATATTCATTTTCTCCCGTTACCGCGGCAGTCCTGGCACGCTGCAATACTGCGGTGAAGTAGGTTTTGTTATCCTGTCCTATACACTGCTAGACAGCAGTATAGCAAGCACTGTGCATGGAGTCTTGGTAAGTGCTACAGGGGCATCTAGAGCTAGGGGGGAGAGTTTTAGGTTTAGGAACACATTTCCATGATTGAGAGCCCCCCATTGCTCCATAATTCTGAACTAAATAGGCGGTTGTTTCTCCACAATCCTGTGTGTAGGTGTACCGCTCGGGTACTACTGGGGATTCAGACTTTCCCCCTCTACATTCACATGGTTTTCCATATAAGTTATGTAGTATTGCCTCCTTAGCTGGAGGTTCGAGGCCTCCGCTCACAAAGGGGGTTTGTAAAATAAAAGAGGTTACAAAGAACAGAATGATTATCATGGCTATGGCTTGGGTGGTTTGCGGCGCAGGGTGATTTTTAGGGGATTGTCCTTACTCCGGTTGATTGTCCAGGTTGTTCCTTTCGCTGGAGGTCCGATGAGGTCTGAGAATGGGTGTACAGGCTTGGCGTGGGTGCAATGAATCCAGGTGGCGATTCCGTCTACTTTGATGGCCGTAGGTGTTGTCAGGATGACCTGGAAGGGTCCTTTCCACCTGGGTTCCAGATTTTCCTGCCAATGACGTTTGACGAGGACCCAATCCCCTGGCTGGAATTGATGTGGAATAGGCGGGGGTCCAGTCTCATAGAGTTCCTTTAATTTGGGCCATACATCTTCATGGACCCTCTGCAAGGCTTGTAGGGAGAACCAGAATTCAAGACTATTATCATTCTCAGCTTTGACAAGGTTATCTTTTAGGTTAGGGATGATACGGGGTGGTCTACCATGCATTATTTCATAGGGTGTGAGTCCCAGTTTGTATGGGGAATTACGCACCCTGAACAGAGCGTAGGGGAGAAGGACCACCCAGTTAACGCCAGTCTCCATGGTCAATTTGGTTAGGGTCTCCTTTAATGTTCTGTTCATTCTCTCTACCTGTCCTGAGCTTTGGGGTCGGTATGCACAATGTAATTTCCAATCAGCCCCAAGTATGGAAGCCAGTTCCTGACTTACCTTAGAGACGAATGCAGGTCCATTGTCTGACCCTATCATTACTGGAAAACCATACGTGGGCAGGATTTCTTCCAGGATCTTTTTGGCTACAATCTGCGCCGTTTCATTCTTGGTTGGAAAGGCTTCAGTCCATCCTAAAAAGGTATCTACAAAAACTAGCAAATACTTATATCCATATTTTCCTGGTTTTACCTCAGTGAAATCTACTTCCCAATAGGTCCCCGGTCTGCTCCCTCTTTGTCTTACCCCTGTTGCCTGAGGATTGCTATTCGCATTGTTGAGTTGGCACAGTGTACATTTAGTGACTACTTGATCGACTTTATTGGAGACATTTCTGATTTTTAGTCCAGTCTGTCTCAGTAAGTCCAACATTCGCCGGGAACCTAAGTGGGTGCTGTGATGGATCCACTCTAGAACCTGCCACCCTAGTTTATCTGGGAGTATAATGCTGCTTTTGGAGTCTCTCCACCAGCCATCTTTGACTCGGGTCATAGGAAGTTTACTCATCCATTGAATATCGCTTTCTGAATACTCAGGGCTGGGGGGCAATTCCCAGGGTCCGGGGTCTGACAGCTGTAGGGTCAGTAATTGCGCTGGGGGCCGAGCTATGTCTTTTGCAGTCCAATCGGCCAAATTGTTGCCCCGGGAAACTGGGTCGGTTGCCTTCTGGTGTCCTGGGCAATGCACAATCGCTAGCTTTTTGGGTTCCCATAAGGCTGCTAGCAGGGCTAGAATCTCTTCTTTATTTTTGATGTCTTTCCCTTCAGCTGTGAGGAGCCCCCGTTCTCTGTATATCGCCCCATGTACATGAGCAGTGGCGAAGGCATATCTATCGGCTATCAGTGTACACGGTTAGCTTGCAGTCTCTTCCTAATTTTAGGGCCTGGGTTAAGGCTATTAGTTCAGCCTTTTGGGCCGAGGTTCCGGGGGGTAGGGCTTCTGCCCAAACCACCTCAGTTTCTGAAGTTACGGCCGCCCCCACATACCTTTGTCCCTGGTGAACGGAGCGGCTTCCATTGGTGAACCAGATGGCGTCCGCATCCGATAATGGTTGGGCCTGCAAGTCCTCCTCCGTAAACTTGAGCCAGTGTGTCGGCGCAGTCATGAAGTGGGGTTCCCATGTCTGGGTCTGGCAGCAGTGATGCTGGGTTCAGGGCCGTTGGGGGGGGGGTGAAGATGACCCTGAGGGGGTTCAGCAGCCGTCCCTGGTAATGAGTGAGTCGGGCATTGCTCAACCATCGGTCAGGCGGCTGCTTGAGGATGCCCTCGATGGCATGCGGGGTGGTGACTTGTAGCTCTTGGCCCATGGTCAGCTTATCAGCGTCCTTTACCATTAGGGCAGTGGCTGCAATCATCCGGAGACAGGGTGGCCATCCGGCGGCCACTGGATCTAGCTTTTTAGACAGATAGGCTACTGGCCTGCGCCAAGGGCCTAAATGCTGGGTTAGCACCGCCTTAGCTATGCCTCGGTTTTCATCTACACACAGGTGGAAGGGTTTGGAGACATCGGGGAGTCCCAGAGCAGGTGCTGATAGCAGAGCAGTTTTAATTCGTTGGAAGGCCTGTTTGGCTTCTTCCGTCCAACTATAGGGCTGTTGGTCCTTTGTTGCCTGGTATAAAGGCTTTGCTAATTCAGCAAACCCTGGTATCCATAGTCTGCAGAACCCAGCCGACCCCAGAAATTCCCTCACCTGTCGTGGTGTCTGCGGTCTGGGAATACGAAGGACGGTCTCCTTCCGGGCATCCGTTAGCCAGCGTTGCCCCCCTTTCAGTAAGTAACCCAGGTAAGTTACCTCTGACTTGCAGATCTGAGCCTTCTTTGATGAGGCGCGGTAGCCTAAGGTTCCCAGAGTTCGCAGGAGACCTTCGGTTCCCTGGATGCAGGCTTCGGACGTCTCGGCAGCTATTAAGAGATCATCAACATACTGCAGGAGAGTTATATTACGGTGTTGTTGTCTGTACTCACTTAAATCTTCGTGTAGAGCCTCGTCGAACAGGGTCGGAGAGTTTTTGAATCCTTGTGGCAGTCTGGTCCAAGTGAGTTGGCCATTTATGCCCCTGTCTGGATCTGTCCACTCGAATGCAAATAGCTCCTGACTTTTAGGCGCTAGTGGTAGGCTGAAAAAAGCATCTTTTAGATCCAGAACAGTATACCATTGTTTTTCTGGGCTGAAGGCGCTCAAGAGAGTATAGGGGTCAGGAATGGTTGGATGTATGTCCATCACCCGCTTATTGACTTCTCTCGGGTCCTGCACTGGTCTGTATTCCCCGCTGTTGGGTTTGCGCACGGGCAGCAGGGGGGTATTCCATGCTGAGTGGCAGGTGCGTAGGACCCCGAGGTCAAGGAAGCGGCGGATATGCGGTGTGATGCCATTTTTGGCTTCCATGGGCATAGGGTATTGGCGCACGCAGACGGGGTCCCTCCCGGGCTTGACCTCTATAAATAGGGCTGGGCAATGTTTTGCTAGCCCCATACCACCCGTTTCTGCCCACGCGTCTGGGAAGCGTTGAAGCCAGGGCTTAGTGCCCTGATCCAGAGGAGTGCGTTTCTGATGGAGCCTGTATTCATCTTCTAGTCTCACAGTGAGTACAGATATGGGTTGGTTGTGAAAGTCAGTCACTGTGGGTCCTCCCGGTTGGAAATGAATTTGGGCCCCCATTTTGGTAAGCAAATCCCTCCCCAACAGGGGGCAGGGGCTGTCGGGAATGACCAGGAAGGAGTGGGTTACCTTCCCAGTTCCCAAGTCCACAGTCCTCTGAGTTGTCCAGGGGTACTTTTTTATTCTGGTGGCTCCTTGTACCCAGGAAGATTTTTCAGATACTTTTCCATGGGGCTTGACCAGAACTGAGTGCTGTGCCCCGGTATCAACTAGGAACTGGACCGGGGTCCCCTCCACTTGCAATGTTACCCTAGGTTCGGGGAGGGGATCTGAACCCCGTCCTCCCTATTCTGTATCTTGGGTAAACAGTATGGGGGCTGTTTTAGGCTGCCATTGCCCTTGGCTGGGGCGGGGTTGTTTCTTTTTGGGGCATTCTGGTGCCCAATGGCCTTTTTCTTTACAACAGGCGCACTGATCTTTATCTAAGTGCCGCCTGGGAGGGCGTGTTGTTTGAGTGCCTTCTGGGGGTGGCTGTTCTTTCTGGACTATAGCGGCCAGGACTTTAGTCATTTTCTCTGTGGCCTTGATCTGTCTCTCTTCTGGGGCGTCCCTGTTGTTGTAGACCCGTTGTGCTATACGGAGCAGATCCTGGATCTGTTTACCTTCTAAATCCTCTAGCCTTTGGAGTTTTTTCTTAATGTCAGCAGCTGCTTGATTTACAAAGGACATAACGACAGCAGCCTGGTTCTCAGGGACTTCTGGATCCATGGGGGTAAACTGTCTAAAGGCTTCCATTAGTCTAAGTAAGCAGCTGGACTCTCTGTCTTTCCCTGTACGACCGAATATACCTTAGCCAAATTGGTGGGCTTGCGAGCTGCAGCCCGGAGACCCGCCATCAGAGTCTGGCGATAAATGAGTAGCCTTCCCCTACCTTCTGCAGTGTTGTAGTCCCATTCGTCCTGTGGAGGTCTGGTTAGGGGGAAAGCCGCATTAATGAGGTCAGGGTTAGATGTCGGCTGACCGTCGTCTCCAGGAACCAGCTTTCTTGCTTCTAATTGGATCCTCTCTCGCTCCTCTGTAGTGAACAGGATGCGGAGGAGCTGCTGACAGTCGTCCCAGGTGGGCTGGTGGGTGAACGTGACACTGTCTAAAAGAGCTATTAGGTCTTTAGGGTTATCAGAGAATCGAGCGTTCTGTGTTTTCCAGTTGTAAAGGTCACTGGTGGAAAAGGGCCAATACTGGAGTCGGGGGTTGCCTGTTTCATCTGGGGGTCCTATTTCCCGCAGGGGTAGGGCCACAGTGGAGTCGGGGAGGCGAGGGTTTAGCTCACGCTGGGTGCACCCGCGGGTTCGGCCAGCTGGCCCCTCGCGGTCAGTTTCGTTTTCAATGGGGCCCGGTGCAGCTATAGCCTCCCGTCCTCCTGGTTCCGGCGCGGCTGCTGCTTCCCGTCCTCCCGGTTCCCCTAGGGGGGCAACTAGCGGGGCGGCTGGTGCTGGTAGGGACTGGGGTACGAGGGGAGGGGGATGATAGGGTGGAGGGTCTAGGGATAGTAGATCCTGACTATCAGGCAATATGGGATACAAGGGCGCAGATGGCGTCTTTGGTTTTGGGGGATCTGCAGTCCGCATGGCAAGGACCTTACACGTTCCTGAGGACAGGAAGGGGGCCAACCAAGGGGGTGGATTTTCCACCAAATCTTGCCATACTAGAATGTAAGGGAATCTGATCCGGGTGTCCCTCGCGACCCGGTAGAAAAATCTTTGACTTCACCTTAGCAATTATAGGGAGGCAGAAAGTTCCTTCGGTTGGCCATCCAACGCCGAAGGTTGGCCATTCGGAGCGGCAGAGGGTTATTAATTTTCCCCTCCGGATGTCTAGACTCAAATTCTGTCCTCTGGTTCTAACATCCCTGAAGTTAGCAACAAGGAGAGAAAGAGGAGTGCTTTGAGATTGGCCCATCTGTATCCTGGAGGTGGAGAAAAGGATTAAAAAGAAAAACAGTAAAGTTATGAGGATTTCTGGTTGCGCCAGGCCAGGTCACCTGTGAAAGAGAAGGGGTTCAACACTTAAAGGTTATAGAATAGAGAACATGAAACATAGGTCGCTAGCGCGTTTCGGGTGTCCGTAACCCGAACAGAAAAGCTCCGATGGGCCAAAATGGTGCCCCAGACGGGTGCCAGAGGACGTCTCCTACTGGTCCCGACTGACTGCCCTATAGCGAGTCTGCCAGGGCTGTGTCAGTCCCCGATACAGATCCCGCGCGGGAGAGAGCCAGAAATGAACAGACGATATACAGACAGAAACAGACAGAGCCGGCTCACTTACCGATCGGCTTCAGGGACGACCCGTTGACTTGGGGTCTGGAGGGCTTGGGGGTATCCCAGATGAGCCCCCAAATGATATGCCCAAATTCGGGTGACCCTCAAGAACAAACCACCAGAGTCCAGAGTCAAAGCCAAGCGGCAAGGGCCGTTTATTGCAGGTTCGAACCCAGACCTCCACGCACCCGTTGTCAGTGACGCTAAGAGTGCCCGAGTGAGGTTTTTACAGCCTTTTTATAGACAGGCACAAACAAGTTATGGGGAAGTTAGGGATCTTCCACTGTTACAGAGCTGTTATTGGTTGATATTTAAATTTGAACACTCAGCAAAACTTGACTGGTTCCCGCCTTTAGGTCAAACCACAACCGGGCATGCCCTGGCTGGTTCCGGTACCGGGCGGGGGTGGGGGGGTTGGGGGGGGTCTTTTCTTTGCAGTTGTGGGTACCCCTGGTAATTTTTCTCTTAGTCTCTCACCCAAAGGCTCTCAAAACATATCTTCAGATTGCAGCATCGGCATCACCTGGGAACTTGGTAGAAATGCAAGGTCTCGGGCCCCACCTACCGAATCAGAAACTTGAGGACTGGGCCCCAGCAGTATGTTCTAATGAGCCACCTGTATGACTCCGGTGCACACTCTAGACTAGGGATCAGTGACCCAGCCCCATTGTGCAGATGGGGAAATGGGCTCAGAGACTCAGCAGCTCATGCAAAGTCACAGCACATAAATGGCTAGCCAGGTTTCAAATCCCAGTTTGTCTCATTTTAGAACCAGGACTCTTGGGGGGGGGGGGCGGGGGGGGTGCAGAAAATCGTGGGAATTCCCAAGAAGGGGGAGAAGAATCCAGAAGCCTCTTTCTCGGAGGAAGCTGGCCCAGATCTCAGGTACTTGTGTTCACCTCTGTAGCAGCCAGACATCAGAGGGCAAGAGACCAGCTCACGGTCACCCCACATGCCCCCACTAGGGCCGGAAGGGAGGGCCAGAGCAGGGCTGAGCTTCCTGGCAACAGACTACCTTTCAGAAGAGACATCCATGGCCCTACCCCGCCCACCCCGAAACACACAACTGGGAAATACTTGCAAGTTCAGCCTCTCCTATGCTGCTCAACACTGCAGAGAATTGCACGCCCCAAACTCTTGACAACAGAAGCTGACAGGCGGGGATGGATGGACCAAGCAGGCCCAGCAGGCAGCCGGTTTCACACACAACAGTCCCACACATCTGTGGGGGGGGGGAGGGGCTGCAGAACCAGCCTAGCGGGTTTGGGGTGCCCGCCCTCCCTGGGCTCCAGGCCCAAGCCCCCCAAATCTTCCTCTCAGACTGGGAAAAGACTCACACCTACCTTAGAGTATTGTCAGAGTGAAATTAGGCCTGATCCTGATGTCCAAAGGAAGATGGTTCACCCTGGGGATACCTGGCCGTCGCCCTTTCTCCAGCCAAGAGCCTGGCGGGGAAAAGTCGGATGGTTTCTCAGGGTGTTGATAGCCACAAACCGGGTAGGGTCTCCTTGAGGGAAAGGGAGCCTTACAAAAGCCCCCCTTTCCCATCTGCCCAGGGGGCCCTCACTCTGGAAAGGATGGGGGTGGGGGGTGGCTGAGTCAGGAAGGTTCAGCCAGGGCGACTAGCAGCAGGAGGCGACTCATCTGCATTTCCAAAGGCCCGCCCCGTCCACGTCCCCGCCCCGTCCACGTCCCCTCCCCGAGAATGGGCCGGAGATGTGAGGGCTTACCCTGGAGCCCTCCGCCTCAGGGGATCCCGGGGAAGGCCCGCTCGGCTTTCCCAGGCCACAATCCTCCCTCACCCCCCCCCCCCCCCCCGGCCTCTAGAGCTCAGGGTTGGGGGGTGTGCCCTGCACGACTAGATCAGTGGCTTCCGTGAAGGCCTCGAGCCCAAAGTGGGGACAAAGTGGGGGAGGGAGCTACCCCTCGGGCTCAGCTGTTAACGGGCGTTGAGAGCCAGACAAGGTCGCCGAGGCCCGGGTAGGCAGCGGGGGTCGGCCTAGGATCAGGGTCGGGCCGCGAGGGAGGCTTCCGCCGCCTCCGGAGGCGCCGGGCGGTGTCAGGGGAAGCCTCGAGGCCCCGACCGTCCCCATGGCCCTTTGCTACTGGCTCCCGCTCCCCGGGCTCGGAACGAGGTCTCCTCGTGCCCCCCACCCCTCCCCGGAGTCGGGCGCGGGGTCCGGGGCGGTTGCGGAGCCCGCGCTCGTCGTCGAGGCCTCCCCCGGCCAGGGGCGTCCACGCGGGCGGCGGCCTGAAACGCGGGCGGCGGCGCGCCGGCCTCCCCTCCCCCCCGGCCCCGCCGCCTCCTTCCCTCCTCCCGCCTGGCGCGCAGCAGCCGCCACCGCCCGAGCCGCGGGCGGCGCGCGAAATGGCGCCCGTCTGGCCGCCTCGCCCGGCGGAGGCGACAGTGGGAGCCGGGGCGCGTGACGCCCCCAGGCCCACGGCCCCCGCAACAGTCTCCGCGACCACCCTCCGGCGTGGGGCGCTGTGCCCTGGCGGGTTCTCGGGCCCGCCCAGCGAGGGGCCGCCGTCAGCCCCGGGCCCCCAACGACAACCGGGGAAGGAGGGAGGAAGGAGGAGGAGGGCGGCCGCCATTAGCCACCCGCAGCCCGGCCCGCCCGCCGGCCGACCCCGGCCCTGGCCCCGGCCTGCGGCTCTGCTCTGAACCTGAAAATAAAACTCGTGTTTGGGAGGGAGGAGCGAGCGCGGTCGGGAGAACAGGCAGCGCTTGGTGGCAGGCGGGAGAGATGCTGCGTCATGGTGCCAACATGGACGCCGGCCTTTTGTCCTTTTTTTGCTTAGGAAGCGCAGGCCCGCCCAGGAGCCCCGAAAAGCCGGCTTCAGAGTGCGAGCCCGACAATCAAAAGAGAGAGAGGCCCTAGGCCGAGTGGGGAGCTTTCCTCGTTTTTCGAGCCCCCCCAATCTCCAAAACACTTCAACTTTCTCCTCCCCAGGAAGGCTCAGACCTAGAAAAGCGAAGGGGATGAACGCAGGCGGCTCCATGGATGCCCGAGCTCGCTGGGGAGACCCTCCCCACGCCTCCGGGGCAGAAGGGGCAAAAAGGTCTGAGGAGTCCTCGTCCTCCCACCCCTCCCCATCTGGCTGCCAAACATAAAGCTCCAGAAACCTTCTCCCTTCAGCTCCCAAACATCTGCAGCCCTTGGCCTGCTAGAAAAAAGATTTCCTCGAAGGGGCAAAAGGCACTTTTTTTTTTTTTTTTTTTTTTAAACTTACCGGCTCTGCCCGGTGCCATGGAGTCTGGAAGATCAAGCTGGGCGGAGGTTTTGGACGTGTTATGTAAAAAATATCTTTTGGCGGGGGAGGGGGGATTGTTTAGTTAGGATTATTGGGGGAATGGTGGTGTCTTTCTTGTTGTTACCTTTTTGTAAGTTACACTCTCATGGCATTTTCTGCTCCTTCCACTTCTGCAAACTTTCCAGGGTTGGGTTGGCAAAAGGCGGCTTCGCTGAGGACTGTTTACTGCTCTGGATATAGCAATGGTGTGATCGTCATTAAGAGACAAAAGGCGAAAATACACAGTCAAATCAAACAAAAGGCAAAAGACGCACGGCCATCCCAACCACCATAGAAAATACCCGCGAGTTAACGTTGGTGTTTGGCTCGAACCAGCTAGGACTTGTTTTCCAGTTTTAATCTAGTTTCCTGTGACGGCTTTAGACTCTGTACACAAAGAGAAGGTCTTCCTTTCCCTCACCCACCCCCCTACCAAGACGAGAAAAACAGAGCTGTTTTTCTTCAAATAGATCGATTTTCAAAGAACGTGTACATGTTACTGGGAAGAAAGCTGACTAACATTTATTGCTTTAAACATTTTCAAAAGCTTAAAGCTAAAAAACCTTAGCTTTATAAAAGCAAAATCGTCTAAAAGCATTTTAACTGGCTTATATTAGACAAGAGCGACAAAGACATACATGCAGATGAAGGTTCAGAAAATTAAGGACATCTCAGCAACATTAACATGAAAACTGCACTGCGTAAGGACAGAATGGATTGGGTACTTACAACGTAAAAGGTTTTTTAAAAGCTTAAAAGTAACAACTGCTTACAATTTTTTGTTGCTGCCATTTCGCTAGTCCTAAAACTATACATTTAAAACATTACCTTGTTAAAAAGAGAGCAGAAGGAGTTAATAAGATGGCCAGGTTTAAGTGTTTAATAGAGGAAACTATATATATTTAAAAATTTATTGTTCAGTCAAGAGAATACAGATTAAGACAGCTCCAAGCTCCCCCCACCCACCCAAGAAAAAAAAGAGGAAAAAAATTAAATATGTCATTTACTTAGGTTTTTTGGAATTCAAAATTGTTAACTGCTGACATTAATGGTGTGCTATGACCTAGTTATACAAGACAAAGATGGATTCCAAGTCATAAGGAAAAATCCAGATCTTTTTAAAAAGTCTTCTTCATTCTTCCAATTGTGAGTCCTTTAGCCTGTTGACAAATGTTAAACACAACACTGAGGCGTCCTGAACTGGATGGTGGAGTCAAAGGAAAAGCATTCCCCATTTGCAACAAAGGAAAAACCCACTTGGCCATTTAATTCCATTGCAGAAAAATGGCTCCCCTCATCTGTTGGCCTCTCCTTGGTGTCTGATGAACGATGTTTTGAGATCAGCGTCTAATAACTCAAGCCCTATAGAAGCCGCGCGCTGATTGGCTGCCGCGCCCTGCCGCCCTGCTCCAGCCAATTACCTACCCACGGCCAAATTACAAACCCCGAAAAGAGCCCCAATATGAAATACACCACCACGAAGCCCCAGAAAGGCGGCTCCTTCGCCTCGGCCGCCCGAGAGGACAGGCAGAGGGGGCTGCAAATGCGTCCTCGCGAAGCCCGGGAGCCTCGGAGTTGAACTCACAAAATGGAAGCCGCGCGCTGATTGGGCGCCGCCACTCCCGGACCTTTAATAAAGAAAGGGGAAGGAAAAGATAAATGCAAAAAAGGGGGACTCTCTCCTCCGTTGGTGGCTGGAGGAAGAAGGGGGGGGGTGGAGAGAGAAGCATGTGTTTAGGACAATTACAGGGCGCTCCTCTCCAAAAATAAAAACAGAGCAAAAAGCTTCTATCACCCAGGTCCAGGCGAGGGCTACATCCTCCCAGGAATGTGAATGCTAATTTGGTTAAAATCCTGGTTTCCCCTCCCTAGCTCAGCACCACGGGGGAGGGGGTCTCGGGGCAGAAGGAGGAAGCCGGAGCGAAGATACCTCGATTGCAACTCGTCTCGAGTCGTCTTGCCTCCCCCC